GGTAGCTCCATTAAACCCTTTCTCCCCATTCTTAGAATGAAATAGACATTCCACGGGGTTAATATTAAACCATTATGGAATGCTGAGGGCTGTTCTAGTATTACCACGGGGTTCTCTTCCTGGGATGAAGCACACTTGATAATGATTGATGATGTGGAGAAGTAAAGGAAGGAGCCGATTTGTCATAATCTCGGCAAACCATTTCACATTTACGTTGTAGTGTACATGGAGGCAGATATAAAAGACTTCAATTTAATCCAGTGATGTATACATTAGACAATACTTAACGTCTCATTTTTAAGTAGTACCTCCATTTGTCTTTGTAATAGCCTCAGCCTTCAGGCTGGCAGAGAAAGGGGGAGCAGTGTAGGCCAGTCAGGCTTTACTGCACTGTACAGTGTGCTGAATCTAACCAATGAAGCTTGCTGGTTGGATGAGAGAGCACAGAGATGACTTACTCATGGAGTTGCTGTTCCTCTACTATCCAATCGCAGTCCTGCCCAAATTGTAATACATAAAGGAGCTGTAGAGTCCCGGCATATACTCTCCTGTTGTAACATCAACATAGGAATACATACTAGAGTTGTTTTTCATCATACAATCAAAGCTTACTTGAAAACAATCCCTTTTATGTAGTGAGTGCCGCCTTCTATCTGCCCATCGCTTTCATCAACTTCCTGGATTCCCAGTGTGCTCTGTGTCTCTTTTCCTGCTGCTTGATGTGATTCAATCTCTATTTCTCGGACTACATATCCCAGCAAGCAATAACAATGTTTCCTTGTTCAGACGTTGAGTTGTAGTTCAGACATCAGGCTTAGAGTGGTGACACAAGGAAGTGCATATTCACAGAGCTGTGTGAAATTGTGTCACTGCATTGGGGCATCTTCAATAAGTAAGTCTACAAACTTCTAGATCAGTGGTTCTCAACTCGTGGGTCGCGACCCAAAAGTGGGTCGCGACACCCTCTGCAGTGGGTCGCGGCGTCATGTCTGAATAGACCGGCCTGAGACTGAATAGAGAGGGGGAATTTGTAGGGTTGAGAACTTGAGAAATGTTCTAGATCAAAAGGTAGCTAAACTTCGGCCCCGCAACTGTAGTAAAACTGCAAATCCCATAAGGCATTGCAAGATTGTGACAACCACTGGCATGACTCCCAGAGGCAGAGACATGATGGGGGTTGTAGTGTGGCTGGATGGCCGAAGTTTGACTACCCCTGAAAATCAATATAGAAATACACATTTGTTTGTTTTAGTTTTTACCAGAGATAACTTTAAGTTTGATGGAGAAGAGGAAATGGTCAGGACCTTCTATGGCAGGGGTAGCCAAACTCCGGCCCTCCAGCTGTGGTGGAACTACAAATCCCATGAGGCATTGCAAGATTCTCACAGCCACAGGCATGACTCCCAGAGAGATGCATCATGGGATTTGTAGTTTCACCACAGCTGGAGGGCCGGAGTTTGGCTATCCCTGTTCTATGGAGTCTGACAGAGGTGTCATCTGGATCAGATAATGAGATGAACAGAATGACAGATCTTTGGGCAGACCAGACAATTCACACGTGTTGTTACCTGCCTCCGTACCCATAGACTTGACCCAATGCTTCTATCCAAACCACTGCAGACCATCACCTACTTTTCTATATGGATTTCAAGCTGTCTTTGATGGAGTAGAATGCTTTTGTAAAGGGTGGAGTCAGTTGGAGAGAAAGTTTTAAGTGCGGAAATCTAAAGCCATATGTACTAGTTCCAGGTTTTTATAAGAATTCTGTAGGTGAGACCTCCTCAGGCAGTTTGGGAAGAAGTCCTGGTTCACACCTGGTCGTTTTACAGCGCTGATCGAAGCGCTGCAAAACGCTCAGTCAAGTCCCATTATGTTCTATGGGCATGGATCCCACCTGGGCGTATTTCAGCGCGTTGTGACACGCTGAAAAACGCCCTACGCCCAAATAAGTAGAAGAGTTTCTTTGGGGCGTATTTCCGCGCGTTTCCATTGGTATTCCCGAGTGTGGCTCGGGGTTAACAAAGCGGTAACCCTGAGCCACACTCGGGAATACAGCGTAGGACTTACCTTGTCCGCGATCCCCGCTGTGTCCTCTGGCGGCTGCCGACTTCAGGGTTGCGTCCCTTGCGAGCGGCCGGGTTGCAGGGGGGGCGGAACCGGCGGGAAGTTTGAAAGTTAAAACAATATAGAGAAAATAAAGGAACATTTTTTTAAAAATCACACCGCCAGTGAAACGCACATTTCACTGAACGGAAAAACGCGCAGAAAAAACGTGCCTATGCTATGCCCAGGTGTGAATCCAGCCTTAAGGACTTAACCCAAGTTAGTTCTATAAGGAGCTCTTTCTCTAAACTCTTTTTTGTGACGAGTCTCTAGTTGGGCTGTACGACTCCAGGATTTCTCAGTTGTACAAGCCAAGAATTTTTCAGAACCTGCTAATGAGGTCACATTGCAGGAAACTGGTTTGCTGGACTCATAAAACCAATGGATATTTTATCCTCTACTACAGCATTGTTGAAGGGACAGATGAACCCACCATGTCAAGGCTCTACCGTCCTGTTGAAGAACAGACGGAATTATGGATAGGGGGCCATGGTCAGAAATGGTTGAGGGATCAACAGCACCTTGCTTTTAGCTTGACAACAGAAGGACAGCAGTTGGTTGTAGAAAGGTCCAGCAGGGACAGCTTAGAAAAGCAACCAACATTTTTTCTTAAAGAAATATGTCTAGCTCTAGAATGACGGTTATCTTCTGCCATCTGTGTGTCTCTACATGACTACTTGTGTCTTTGATTTACAGGGAAAGCGAAAAGACCAAACTGCTCATTGCTGCCCAGAAGCAGAAGGTGGTGGAGAAGGAAGCAGAGACGGAGAGGAAAAAGGCTGTGATTGGTGCGTCACCGAACACTGAATTTCAGAGGCTTTAACACTGTCAGCCATTTTATTGAATCAACAGGAAAAGTCCAGCTTGAGGCCATGAACTTTATTAGCCAGAGAAACCTTTTTCTGTGCTCCCCTCTGTTACGGAGCGTCAGCTTCCCTGACTTGTGGGATAAGCCCTGCCCTACTTCACAAGGGCATCATTAGGACACTGTAACTATACAGAGGGATGACAGGTGGGCAGGAATAAGTCTCAATGCCAGAAGTCACACCCTTAGTAATATACTATATGAAATAGGAATATATCAATTAAGAGGGGAATGGTGAGAGTTGTTTCTGACTAACAAAGTAGATACCGCTCACCTTGGGGTTTCTGCTTCTAGGCAACATTTTCCCTTTTAAAAGTTTAATAATTGTAGTTCAGGTCTGCAACTAATTATTTTTATAATTGATTAGTTGGCCGATTTTTTTTTATTTTTTTCAATCAATCGGATAAAAAAAAAAAATCAAATAAATACCGTCCTTAACTCTAAATAAAATGCACAAATGGAGTGTTACAAATATAAAGTTTACTTCAGAAGAAAACTGCATGCACAATTTTTTTTTAACTTTATTTTTAAAGTGGATTTCCCCGTGTTTGTTCCTTCAAAGGCCCTACGAGACCAAAAAAAAGTATCTGCTGATTTTTGCCCGAAATTCTCATAATATATTAATGTGGTCTGACAACACACAGCATTTTTGTGGACTGAATGGTGTCAGCCCTGCCCAGTTGGCTTCCTCTTAATGTGCAACTGAAGCCAAAACTTATTTTCTAGTTTTGGATAGAGTTGGGAGGGATTAGAACATGCCAGGTTTTTTGGGGGGCAGTGTTTGTGAGCCTGTTTGCCTATGATATATTCTGTATATACAGGAAGTTCTCTGTATGCTGTAGTCCTGTATACAGATTTAATAACGTTCTTATAAGCAAGTAAAACTTTATTTCAGCATTCCTCCAGATCTCAGTGCTTCATCTAAACACATAACCAACAAATATTTCCCTCTCTGGTAATACAGAGGCAGAGAAAATGGCTCAAGTGGCAGAGATCAAATATGGACAGAAGGTTATGGAAAAGGAAACTGAGAAGAAGATTTCTGAAATTGAAGGTAAGTGACTCTTCCTTTCCTGTCAATTGAAGAACAAAAGTGTGGTATGTGGTACCAAACAAAAGTGTCTTGTGCCTTTTTTTGTTTTCAAACTTCTGCATTGATATATTCTTTTTTTTAAGGGATGCACAGATATGATTTTCCCGTTATCTAGTATGGGTACTGATATTTTTTTTTCGGTACTCGCTGATACCAAATACCGATTCCGACATCCTGAGGTACCGTGGGCCCGAATTATCAGGAAGCCAGTGTTCTATTGAAAGAACACCAGCTTCTTGGTCCCTTGCCAAGGCATCATGGCTTCCTGACCAATCGGGAAGCAGGGCGGCGGGTCATGACGTGCTGCCCGGCTTCCTGATTGGTCTGGAAAGCCAAGCTGACTAACAACAAGTGAAGCATTCTTCCTAGCTAATCAGGGAGGCGGGTCATGACCCTCCGCCTCTCTTCCTGTTTTGTCAGGAAGCCGGCTCAATGCTCCCTCGTGGCACTGCCAAGTCAGAGGGAATATCCCTCTGACCGGAAGTTCTGGTATCGGGGTAAGTATTGGAGCATTTGGTTGGGTACAAGTACTCGCCCAAATTCTCTGTATCGGTACCGATACTAATATCGGTGCATCCTTACTTTTATTTTAGTTCAATACATTTTTATTAAAGTGACACTAAACCAGGAGTTCAATCTTAAAAGTACATTCAAGTTCCTTAATGGTCCCTGTGTGTGTGTTGTAAGGTAGTCACTGCTCCAAGCTCGCTCATGTGATAGACTATAATCGCAATACAAATTGGTAGGGATGCACCAATATATCGGCCACCGAAACATAGCGGCCGAAAATGGCACTTTTGGCTAAATGCCGAAAGTGCTTTCTTTCCTCCCCGCTGGGCGCTGCTCTGTGTCCCAGTGGGGAGGAGAGAAAGTGACAGCCGGCCGAGCAGTTGATCAATATTTCTTTGGCTACCAGATAGGAAGATAGATCCCTGAAAATTGCTGGGTATAATTCCACCATAAATGTCTTCAGTTTGTAATCATTTCCTTTTCCACAGATTCTGCTTTCCTGGCTCGAGCGAGGGCAAAAGCTGATGCTGAGTTTTACACATCGCAGAGAGCAGCTGAGGCCAACCGGGTAACATTTTCGTTCTCCTCTCTGTGTATCTGCAGACGTCTCCTCCTGTGTATATCTTACAGCCTCATTCATCTCTGTATATGTTATGTACCGTCTCTGGTCTTTTTCTCCATATTATTTCGCTTGCTGCCTGTTGTTATTGCTGAGAGTGTTTACATGTGCAATCAGAGCTGGATGTCTCGGAGGGTCTGCTTTTTCAGTCACCGCACCCTATAAAATATGCAAATTATCGAGGCAACCCAGTCCTAAAATGTAAAAAAACGGCTTGTGGTCCCTCCAAAATTCTTACCAGACCCTTATACAAGCTTGTTGTCATTGCTGAGAGTGTTTGCATGTGCAATCAGGGTTGGATGTCTCGGAGGGTTTGCTTTCGTCGACTATTCGACGGAGCTCAGTCCATCTTTATTAAGACACTTGATAAAGATATCCTGAGCTCCATTGAAACGTTCACAATAAAATGCAGATGCCTTGACTTTTCTGCTGCAAGACCCTTGAGTGCCTCTATACCTACTTTGGATTTAACTTTTTCGCTGCCACCGACGTATGGCATATGGCAGAACACAACTTCTTGCAGCTGGCCACGTCAGTATGCCATACATCGGTGGCTTTAGCGACTATGAACTTACACCAGTATGGTTCCCCTGACAGTTCTATGTGAAATAATAGCAGCAGCTAAAAATAATAGCAGCTGACGATAGACCGGCCGTTTTTTTACAGCGGCCGGCCCTGAGGTGGTTAAAGCAGAACTCCAGGCAATTCAAATCGTAACCCTTGCATTGGGGCTACCCCGCAGTGCAAGGGTTAAGTACTCGTTTTGTCTAGGGAGCCAAAAAAAAAGTTATACTGACCCGAACCACAATTCCGGCTTGCTCGTGGACCGGTCCTCCCCCCTCTGTTTCAGCAGTCTAAGGTCCTGCAAGTCATCAAATCCTATACAGTGTATAGGACATGAGGACGCTGAGGGACATACCATCGCAGCGGAGGAGGAGACAGGCTGGAGGGGGGGCGGTGTAGTAGCCAGCCAGGATCACGATTTGGGTGAGTATGGGTTAGCCCATGCAGTGCCACGGTAGCTCCACTGCAAGGTTTAAGTTTTGATTTGCCCAGAATTCTGCTTTTAAGTTGTTTTATCCATTGTTTTGCCCAAATACGATAAGACATATCTCATTGATAATCATCTCTGTTTTTCATTTCCTTTTATCTTTTCTATTCCAACTTGCTGTTTCACTTTTCTCTACAGGTGAAGTTAACTCCTAAATACCTGCAACTCATGAAGTACCAGGCAATCGCATCAAACAGCAAGATTTATTTCGGGACTGAGATCCCTAATATGTTTATGGATAGTACAGGTGGACCCAGCGCCCCTTCTGCAGAGCTGCCCCTGGACGAGTCTCTTAACAGCCAGGACTCATTTTCAGAAGTAATGGAGGAGTCCAATTTGTAGGAGTTATTAACGCAAACAATGAAAAGACAAAATCGGACATTTTTTTTCTATTAATGTGAATTTTACAAGTGAGCTGAGTTGTTCCAAAGCGGAAGATTATTATTAATATTTTTGTACACGGGTTGGCTGAAGCTTGATTGGAAACATTCTGAAGTTTTATTGTTAGTAGTGATATATATATATCTATATACAGTCTCTAGGACCACTAGGTAGTGCATCCAGTACCGGGATAGACCTTCCTTCTTTTTTTTTTTTTATTATTATTTTGGATACAGCATCAGAACTTTATTCCACTAGACACAATACTGTAATGCTGCCAGCGGAGTGCAACTTCAACGACAAAACAGTTTTGTATTAAGGTGTAGTTTATATTTTGAAGATATGAGATACATAGAAATCAGTATGCATCTTGTCTACTATACATGTTATGTACAGTGATGGGAATTTATTAAAGATTACTCCAGGAATTAAAAAAAAAAAAATCTTAACCCCTGCAGTGCACTGCAAGGGTAAGTGCCCAAAGGGGTCAAGTAAAGCAGATCTACTCACCTGATCCTCGGTCCTGCTGGGCTACTAGAACTTCTTCCCCGTGATCCATCGGTCTAAGAACCACTGATAACATCACATCCAATGCATTAGACGTGAGGATGCCGTGGAACATTTACTGCCGCAGTACCGAGGATCAGGTGGGTATATCTGCTTCATTTGAGACCCCTTGACATAATGAGCACCTAACCCTTGCAGTTCGGGGGGAAGCCCTACTGCAAGGGTATGATATTTTTTTTAAAGTTCCCGCAGTTCTTTAGGACTGGGACAGAGAAAATCTGGAGCAGTTGCCCATGGCAACCAATTATCTTCTAGCTTTCATTTTCAAAGCTTAACTGAACAAGCTGAAGATGGAAGCTGATTGGTTACTGTGCAGAGCTGCTCCAGATTCTGCCTCCTCCAGTTTCAGTAAATTCCCCCCAGTGGTTGCTCAGCCTTTTTAGACTTGTACACGTTTATGGAGATGCGAATCAATGTATACCTTGTAATCGGGAGCAGTCATGCACTCTAGCATGGGCACGGCAAGTGAAAACCTTTGGGAATCATGTATTGATGCCATAGTCCTTTTCTTGTAATCTTTTCTCTTGTAAACCAGCAGTCTTCGCACACATTCTTATACATGTGTGGAGGCCTCTGATTGTCATGGGACCAGTGGCCTGGGGCTCAATCTAACTTTAGGGCCCTGGGAGTAGAAACGCTTTGTAATTCTGCTATACCTATAAGCTGCAGTGTTGATTTGTGCAAAGCTGCTTCTATTGATGGTTGTGATTTCTTCATATCCCATCATTGACCGTTCCTTTCTGGGGACATGTACTTTCATTTGTTATGGATTCCATTTACCAAATGATGAATGTAACACGTTCTGGGCTAGCTCATGCCTTGTCCTATTGTATACAGGTATTTGGAGTTCGTGACAAATGCAAGACAATCAAATGAAGTTAAACAAGCACTCCAGGGAAAATTATTATTAACTCTTACTGCAAGGGTTAACTGCTCGTGTGTGTCTAGAGAGGAATATAAAAAAGTTACTCAGTTGATCCTTGGAGCCGGCTTGCTTCTAGACTGGTCCTTGAAGCCTCTCTTCCTCCACTACGGTTGTCCTTGAGTCATCACATTCTATACAGGGGGGAATTTATCAAAATGGGAGCAGATAGAATGTGGATCAGCTGCCCATAGCAACCAATCAGCTTCTCTCTTCAGTTTGTTCAGTTAAAACTTGAAAATGAAACAAAAAAGCTGATTGGTTGCCATGGACCGCTGCTCCAGATTTTGGCTGTTCCAGTTTTGATAAATTCCCCTCATGGTGTATAGGATGTGAGGAACGCCTAGGGACATTTCATTGCGGCAGCGTAGGAGAAGAGAGGCGTTCTGTCACGGCCGGATGTGGGGACCGGGTGAGTATAACTTTATTTTTTTCCTCCCATGACTTGCAGTGGGGGGGGGGATAATTAAGGGTGTGTAAGCCTACTTCAAGGGTTAATAATAATTTTCCGGGAGTTCTGCTTTAAATATCCCTGCAAGCAGCGCACACTGAGTACTGACCACCCTACATAAGGGCGACCTAATCAGGCAGCTGATACCCCTGCGCACATTCCTCGACTCTGCCTTACTCTTGTGTTGAATGTAATTTATCTGTTGTAATGGACAATGCCTTTCAGAGTGTTTCCTCATGCTTCGAATGGTTAGCCTGGTGACCATCATGAAACTTTTATTCAAAATAACACTAAAGACAACTTTTTTCCAAATGTCTCTCATGTGTGTCTTTCATTAACTTTCCATGCATCCTCTTCATTCTATAGATCAGTAAAAGAGAAATAGAGGATGGGATGGAGTTTTAGTTCCAGCGTCATATAGAGATTGTATGTTACAAAGAATAATGATGAAAGTAGAGAAGAAACATTGAAGTTAGATTTTTGGAAGATGGAACATGTGCGTCTTTAAGTTTTTCACAGCTGGGAGGTGGCCGCCGTTGCGTGCAGGCGTGGTGGGCGTACTCAATTGCTATGGATGGTGCTGGTTTCCATTAAAACTGTGCTGCTATCAGGAATGCAAGGAAAGGGCTTCGGGGGTTACTCTCCCGCACCCCGTCCTTCTCAATCTTCCTATCCTGCACACCACTTAGACCCCCCTACCTGCTCACCTCCCTCCATTATTTTCCTCTGCACCACTCAAAGTTTCCCCATAATCAACCCCCAGCTCCTCTGCATACTGCTCCCCACGATGCATTCCCCCCAGATCATAGCACATCCCTTGCCATCTGACACACAAACACCTCTTTCCAGTCATACTGCATCCCTCCCTGGCTACTTTGTCCTCAAATTAACCCCCCTCACCTCTGAGTCACAGTGCATCCCTCCCCAGCTGCCTCACTCCCCACCACGATGCATCTCATCCTTCCAAAGACTCCCTATCCCCCCTACTTACAGCGCAATCCCTTTTCAGCCACTCTTTCCAGTCACAGTGCATTCCTCTCCAGCTACTTCACCTCACACTGTCACCCCGAGTCACAGGGCATTCCTCCCCAGCTGCCTCACTCCTCATCACAAAACATCTATCCCCCCTGCTTACAACTAGACATGGGCTCGATGTTCGAGTCGAATTGCTAGGGTGTTCAGCGGGTTGTTCGGCCGCTGAACACACCGCAATGCACTGTTTGCATTGGAGAGCCCTGAGTGGGTATACCGCAGGTCAGGTGCAAGACTTTGCCCAATCAGGGCTCACTGCTAGGTCCCAGCCCCACACTATATAAGGCTGCTTACACGGCACCCTTATGTAGTGTTTCGCTGGAGTTAAAAATAGAATGGTGCTGTCAGTGCAGTGTACTGAAGTGAAAGCTAACTGGTGTCAGTGTAGTGAAGTATCAGTGCTTTATACAGCATTTAATACTATATACAGTACTCTGTACTGTATATAGTATTATTTCCTATGCTGTATATGCTCTGTCTTTTTTTGTGTGTGTGTCAGTGGTGTCACTGGTGTTTCTCCTGTGTCACCGGTGTTCCCATTTATTTATTTTATTTTTACTTTTTTTCAGCAGCAGGTTCTTTTGCTGCCTCTTTGCTATTTCCCCTTCTGTGGTTTTTTTTTGTTAAATTTTTTGATTTTGTTTTTTTTATTTTTTGTTTTTTTTTATAATAAACCATTGTACAACAGTTTATAGTGCACCAAGCACCACATTCGATAAAGTATTGCACCAAAGCACCAATTTCCCATCCCACATTATCTAATAAAATAGTGTTATAATAAGCCCCACATCATGTCTAATATATTATAATGTTATAATAAGCCCCACATCATGTCTGAAAGGCAAACAAGCAGACAGGTGTGTGTGATTATATATATATATATATATATAAATATATATTTTTGAATTGTTACAGCAGAGCCCAATCCTGCGCTCATCAAGAAGAGTAAAGGTGGCCATACACCTTACGACCATCGCACGACTTTCGTTGTGCGAAGGTTGTAAGGTGATAAAAAGTTTGTACAACCGGCCCATCTTGGACAGGCAGATCGTACTTGCGATCATCGCAAGTCCTCCCAGCTGATGGGAGGGCTTGCAGATGATTGCAATGGTGAGCGGGCAGTGTGCGCTTGCGGCTTTCGTCTTGCGATTGCGCTACCAATCCCGGGTTTTCAAGCGTGCTTGTAATATGAAAATCGTGCGATCGTACAGTAAATGCGGTCGCACCCTGCCCATACACCTTGCGATTATCGTACGATCGCAGGATCACCTGAAAAAGAGACACCAGAATGTATCCCAAAAGTCTCTAACCTTGTTCCGAGTGTCCTAAAATGTGGCCTCTTCATACAAGCTGTCTTCCCAAGCAGTCGTGTACAAGATTAAGGGAAACCAATTACCGGCAATTTAAATTTCATTTGTTTTCTTTACAAATGTCATTTTTGCTGCAGCAGGTTCTATACATCGTACAGATCCGCCACTTCACAGGCAGTTTAAGAACATTAAAGATGCATATATGCAAAAAATACCAGTTCTCACCTGAGCAGGAAAACGTGTGAAAAGGTACATGAGCTTCTTTGGGCAGTTAAAAGCGTGTTTTTGTCCTAAAGACTTCAATGAAAACGCGCAGCAGAAGCCCGTTGCACATTTTTGTGCCTGTTTGAACGCGCGTTCGTCCAATGCCTGCAATGTGTCATACGCTGCCAGTCAAAACACACGTCTTCATGTACGTGCTCACAAAAGCGCATCAAAATGTGCACAATGCACATAAAAGTGCAAATGACCTCACACTGAACATGCGGGTACAGACGTGTTAATAAACAGTTACGCTAATATAATGCAACATAAAACTGTATAACTGCCTCTATTTCATTCTCCAGGGTCCCTCCTTTCAGTAAATATATAATGTGGGGGTGGGGGAGGGGTTAAGTAATGCCTAAAATGTGCATTTTAACGTGTGCAAGAACCGCAAAAACGGGTCTGGGAGCAAAAGGGTTAATCACCATGCCCCCAGACTTGGGGTTGATCTACTACAAACAAATAGGCTGTACATTTTGCAGGGGAACTTGCACTTTGCAGGGGAATTCTTCCTTATCTTGGTGAATGTGGTGAAATATCACTGCAAGGAAGATTAAGAAAAAACAGTATTTTTGCATGTACATGATTGGGTGATGAAAGTCAGCAGAGCTAAACGAAGGAATGGAAACTTCCCCTGCAAAGTGCACATTCCTCTGCACAGTGAGCAGCCTATTTGCCTTTCGTAAAATAATCCTTTACAGTACTACGAGGTTTCTTACACAACAGTGTACACAGCATGGGCTCCGCTCGGTCACGTGATCTGTGATGTCATCCCTCTCTGCTGTAGCATTTGCCAATAAGAGTACCTCTAGTGCATCTGCCCCTCTCAACATGGCCGCTCACTCCTCTTCCTGTCATCTCCATATTCCCGCCCCTCACCGGGAATAGGGACGTTTGATTGGCTGTTTATAGCAGACGTCTCACTCCATTGGCTGTACGTCGTATGCCGGGCTGTGGAGTGTGATGAAAGGGAAGTAACGGAGTAGAATGTGGAGGGCAGGCATGTCAGAGGAGATAGGGAGAGCTCTGGTCTGTGTGCGGGAGAAGGTGCAGAATGCTGCGGCCAAGAGAGCGCAGGTGAGGAGAGCCTGAGTGATGTGTACAGGCCGGAGTGTTATGTCTGTGTATGGTCAGCTTTATGGAGGTGTGCCATACACACACAACATGAGCTCCCATTATGTCCACACTGCAGAATTTGGGGTCCATTCCACAATGGCGGATAGCAGTAACATGCTGTAACTGGATATCGCACGATACAAGAGATGTTATTCCTCTTCGTGCGGTATACTGACACTGGTCATACTATCAGCAGCTATAATAGGATACAATCCTACACCCAGCTATACCATGGACCGGGAAATCTGCAAAAGTCTGGAAGACCTTCGAAAATAAATAAATGCACACTCATTATTAATAATACAAAAAGTCCCATTTTTCATTGGAGCCTGCAGAGCATTGCAACCATGATCATTGGATTGGTGTGTGCAATGCTCTGCCTGCTGCACACTATTCCTCCCAGCCCCTGTCCACACCAAGACACGGGCTTCCAGTTACGGGATGGGAGTAAGTAGAAATGAACTACAAGTGGTGTAACATCAGTAGCGGCACACAGGGGATGCAGGCTTCCCCGGGTGACACCATCAGAGGGGGGTGACACCAAAATGACTGACAGTGATGTTGGTGTCACCCCCCTCTGAAAAGTCAGGCACTTGGTCATGGACTTAGACCCTGACAGCTGCTCAAGAGAGGAGGGGACCCGGCGGCATTCCTTATCCTGCCGGATGAATGTCCTCTCTTCCTCAAGATGGGGGTTTGCTGGCAGCACACATTAGGTTAAGTGGCCAAAGTGGGATGCTAATACGATATGCCAGTACAAGATGGATTCTACATGGTTGTTATGGGCACTGCTATGTGCACAAATCATGCCACCCACCATGTGCATTTATCATTTAAAACTGTACTGGTAACTGGGTTGCAAAGTGACAGGTCCTCATGACCCAAAACATATTTCCCTACTCACTTATTCTCCCCTTTGCCAGGTATCCTCTGCAGGAGCACAGAGTCTAAGCCAGGGGTGGGCAACGCCGGCCGTCCAGCTGGGATTTAACTACAAATCCCAACATGCCTCTGGGAATCATGCCTGTAATGGTCAGCCTTGCAGCGCATTATGGGACCTGTAGTTCCACAACTACTGGAGGGTCAGAGTTGGCCATCCCTGGTCTAAGCATTGTGTAAGCTCTGTGTCGTTGCTTTAACAGGGTTAATGACCTTCTACCCTCCGTCACGTGATAGAGTTCAGACCTGGTGGGTTGTCCAAAAATTGTATCGTAGGATAAATTGGAGATTTAAAAAGACACCCCAGCATGTGACATAGGGATGTATTTATGAAAAAAAATTGCAGAGCTATTCATTTTGTGATGGTGTGTGCATTCATTCTGTGCAATTGAGGCAAAATCGAATGTTCTTGGGGTGTTTTCTCTCCATGCCGAATGATATTGATTCATAAAGAAAAGAGCGAATCAGGAAAATACCACATTATGGCTACTAGATGGCGCTGGGGAGCACAGGGAATACGTATTTGTTTTAGCGCCATCTATTATTATGATTATTATTACATAGTATTTATATAGCGCCAACAGTTTGCGCAGCGCTTTACAATATAAGGACATTACAGTCACAATACAATTCAAGACAAGATGGTAAGGAGGGCCCTGCCCCTGAGGGCTTACAATCTAAAAGAGGAGGGGGAAATATTTTTTGAGGAGCAGCAGGTGGTCAACAGTGTAAAAACAGTGTAAAAAAAAAAACCGGGTGGTCAACTAGTGTCAAGTATCTAGTGGCCATAATATTGTGTTTGCCTGATTCGCTCTTTTCTTTATGAATCGGTATCATTCCACCTGAGAGAAAATATCCTAATAACTTCCAATTTTTGCCTCCATTTGTACAAAACCAATACACGTGCTGTTTTATAGAATTATTAGCTGAGCACATATTTTTTATAAATACTTCCATATTGTGACATGAGGCAGACCGTTTTGCAAATATCTCCGCAGCTCCTCTGAGAGATAAAACCCGCTGACTGCGTTGGAATATTCTGGATGATTATCTATTTTCTATGAGAGTGCTGAGGGGATCCCCCATTGCTTGTCATACAGCACATGTATTTCAAAGAAACAAAAACAAATTATAGGACTGTCTCCATGAACTGTCACAACAAGCCGAGGTTTACTTCACAGCTTTAGGTTCTATTTGCATATTTCTAGTTCTTTATACATCTGTATAGACCGGCCTGGCCATAATTCCTTATTTGTCATTTTGTTTTCAGGGTCTGCCTGCGGTGCAGCCTAGATTGGTGGCTGTTAGTAAAACCAAACCTGCTGACGTGGTGATTGAAGCTTACAAACACGGACAACGATATTTTGGGGAGAATTATGTAAGTTACTTAGTATATGTATGTATACTGGAGGTCTGGTAATCTGGATCTCCGGGGGGGGTTGAATAACCTCCTCTGCACTGCAAGGGGAAACGTGACACTAAACACAGGCATTAAATCCTAAAAATGCATTCAAGTACCTTTTAAAAGAGAGCTATGGGGTAATTGCTTTTCCCCATAGTTCTCTTTAGGGTCACGGGAGGACATGTACTAACCTCCTGACCCAAAGCTCAGTATGTAGCAGGCTACAGCTAACTGTTTACTGAGCGCGTTGCACCCGGGATGGATCCCGACAATACTGTCAAGAACCACCCATCTGTCTGATTGACAGCAGACTCTGCCTATCTAGAGGCAGAGCCAGTTGTGCCCGCCTCCTCCCCCGTCCGTTCCTCCAGTCAGTGCTGGAAGATCAGAGGAGGGAGTGGGGTAATCCCTGCGGCGAGCGGTGACTACAGTCACGGCTCTCTGCAGGGAGATGATGGGGAAATGAGTGAGCATCGGTATTCTCTCACCTCCTGGCCAATAGAGCCGATGTGTGACGGTTTCAATGTCACACATTGGCTCTGACTATGAGGATGAGTGAAAATCACTCCTCATAAATCTCCTTTTAACTACTAGCAAAAATGTATCTTATTTGTGTATCACTCGGCTGTAGATCCTCAAATCATCTCTGAATTGGTGCTGACACTGTCCTTCCTTCTGGAGGGTGACTACTTTTGTTCCCCATGGTCCCTGTGTGTGTGTTGTAAAGTAGCCACAGCTCCAAGCTCCCTCCCATGATGGACTCCCAATACTAGTATCGGTGCCGATACTGAGTATTTGGGCCAGTACTCACACTGGCCCAAATGCTTCCGATACTTATCTCGATACTGTAACTTCCGGTATCATAAAGCCGGCTACATGCTTCCTCGTCAGCTGGTGAAGAGTGAGCTTGAAGCCGGCTTCACAGGGACAATGGGGAACAAAATTAGCCACCCTACAGAAGGAAGGACAGTGTCAGCACCAATTCAGAGATGATTTGAGGATCTACACCTGAATGATGCACAAATAAAGGTCCCCACACACCTTACGATAATCGCAGGAAATCCCGCGATCGTACGATTATCGTAAGGTGTGTGGAAGCCGTGCGACCTCTACTACTGTAAGGTCGCACGATTTTAAACTTACGAACGTGTTTCAAAACCCGCCGAGCATCGTACGATGTTCGGCGGGTGTGTAGCATGTTTGTGAGATAAAAGCCGGACGGGCCGGTGTGCGCAAGCGCACAGGGCCCGTTCAGCATTGCGGTCATCGGAAGCCCGCCCCTCAGGGGGCGTGGCTTGCGATCATCGCAAGTACGATCTGCCTATGCAAGATCGGCAGATCGTACGTTTTTTTAAGTACCTTACAACCATCGCAAGACAAAAGTCTTGCGATGGTTGTAAGGTGTGTGCCCAGCCTTAGATACATTTTTGCTAGTAGTGTCCTGAGTTGTTACTGTCACTGTAAGCTCCAGTACTACTAAAGTGAACCTGTGGTCAGATCAATACACTAAAGTTTTTAAAAATTCTTATCAAGCCGTAAAGGCGATTTTTAACAAGCCCTCAGTCATTTCTGTATCTATAAGCATTTTGCAGAAAATATTTTTTTAGGTTTACAACACAGACATTGAACTCTGAGCTGCTAGAGATATGTGGAGAGCAGACTTGGCAGACCTGGCTAGTTAATGGCTATAGTCTGAGCACACGTGCACTTTTGAAGCCTGTTGGAAGTCTGCTTTGTTTACAATGAAAGTCAGCAGTCCCGTTAACATCTGCTCACCCCCCATTCTGGAACTGAAGAGTTCTTTAAAGGATTCCACAAAGCTTGCTGTACCCACTGCCCTTATACAAGCCGGAGCCTAGGTGAGCAAAGGCTGAGTCTATTACCTGCACAGCTAGGTCTCATATAACCCGCTTTACTACAATACCTTTCATATATTTTAGTCTGCAGCCAAAGCTTGAAGGTCCTATAACAAGAAAAATGTTTTGTTTTCCAGGTCCAAGAATTATTGGAAAAGGCCACCAATGCTAATGTAAGTTGGTTTCCTCTTTTTTCATTTCTACATAATAGTAATCTGTCCATTTCACATCATTATGTTGTATTTTTCATTCTGTTATGTTTGTGTTAGGGCTTGTTCACACCGAAAGCGTGTGCGTTCCACCGCGATGGCTGAGAAACTTCCCCTGCGTTTTGGGGTGGGAGGGGCGTGGCGGTGCATTGTATTCAATGGCACCGCTTCCACGCCCCCGCCCGCAGTGCGATCATCTGCAACGCACACGCTTTCGGTGTGCACAAGGCCTTAAAGGCTGACCTGTCGCCGCTCCATGTGTCAGGCGTTCTCTATAATCAGAGCATGTACTTATCTAATAGAAGTTTTCTTATTTTTCCGTCTACATTTCCAGATCTACTTAGAAATGGTAAATTGTCCACTTTCTAAACATAGAACAATCACCTGTCTATTTACACAAACTGGCTGAATAATAAAACAAAAGGGAAAGAAGTTATTAGTATAATTTATGTATAGAAATCATTCAGAATGCTGCTTTGAGAGCTCGGAGTGGGCAGATAAATGACGGGGAATTTATCAAAAAACTGGAGCAGACAAAATTTTGAGCAGCTTTATACTGCAACCAATCAGCTTCTCTGTCTCATTTTCAACTCTTACCTGAGCAAATTGAAGAGAGATGCTGATTGGTCGCCATGGGCAACTACTCCAGATTCTGTCTGCTCAGGTTTTGATAAATCCCCCCCAGTGTGTTTTTTTTCAGGTAGTGTACACCTCTGGTCATAGCTCTGCTCTTTAAGGCACAGTCCACCTTGTACAAACATATCATAAAGCACACAGCAAAGATCTTAGATCTTGACCATTGTGTGCTACCTGCAGAAGGAAAAGGATGCCAAGCACAGAAACGGGAGTACAGCCCAGGGGCAACCCCTGCTGTTGGGCAAACCTCCTAACTGTAAAAGGCCGCTCAGTCACAAAACAGTGCATTGCTTGGATCTAGTTAGAGCCGTGAGTGTTTACCTTTCTGTCACAGCTTCAATTTCAACACTACTTTTTCTTTTCCTGTAATGGCGGAGGGAATGCACACGGGCTTAGCTATGTGTGGGGACACACTGGGGGCTCCAGCTGCCATTGTGATGTGCTGGGCTACCTGTCTCTTTAATGAGGAATGGGCTACCTACAGACATTCCTGCACTCAATGTATCCATTACTGTATATGCTCCAAGATGGAGGCTCTCATAGATTAAAGTTAGGACCACATTAAACAAAGATGCCTTGACGAGGCAGTGCGGCTTCTTTTTGTTGCAGGCTAGCTGGTAAGTGTGCTGGGAAATGCTTTCTGTTTGTACTGTGGAAAGCCCTTTCATGTGCACCTAACTTCAAACTCTAGTTCTAAATTGATTTGGAACGATTGCCATTTTGTTCTGTTTGTTGGCTACTATCTCCAAATGCATTAGGCAGACTTATTTGGGCATACGTCAACAAACATCAGACAAGCGCCAGCTTTTCCCGCCGCAGCCCACTGCACTACTACAGATTGGCACGTCTCGGGGGTTTTTGCAATCAGGCATTTGTCCTTTTTCTCTCATGTTTGTATGGCAGCCACTGCATCTTCAGTCCGTGTTCTCCAACTTCTGCAGAGTTGGCGTTGCTGCATCCTCTGGAGCTTGTTTTGGTTGCTTGAGAGGCTGCATTGTCTTTTTTTTTTTTTTTTGCCTGGAGATGGTAGGGGGGAGTTATTTTTGTTCCACCTTTTAGGATCTAAGATCTCCGGTATGTCCTTCAATAAATAGAAGAGAAAATAGGACTTTTTGTACTTCCATGAAATCTTTTAAGATCTTGACTGTTGTTATAGCGCCACCTGCAGGAGCACTAGGTACAAAGTAAAATGCAGCCCAGTGGCAGTCCCTGCTGGTGGCCAAGCCCCCAGGGGTAGCCAAACTCCGGCCCTCCAGCTGTGGTGACACTACAAATCCCATGATGCATCTCTCTTCGGCAGTCGTGGCTGTGAGAAGCTTGCAATGCCTCATGGGATTTGTAGTTCCACCACAGCTGGAGGGCTGGAGTTTGGCTACCCCTGTGTTAGAGGCAGCTCAGTTAGTTAGAAAGATGCAACCAAAATTGGTGATAGAATGAACAAACAGAGGCGATGGTGCTGTGTCCTTAAAAGAACACAGAGAAAAGGATTTTGCAGCAAGTGCAAACAATATTATTGAGTTGGGTCATCAGAAGCTGGAGTTGGACTTTACACCTACATGGGTGCCATCAGAATGGGTCAGGTACCTTGACCAGCTCATTGTCCGTGATCCTGTGGCACTTGGATTATGTCTCCCCTCCCTCTGATGTCTGTGGGTTGCTCCAGGTGCCTGACAGGACAGTTTTGTAACCTTGTACTGTTTTGAGAATGTCCAAGTTGCTTATTATCGGGATGCTGAGCTAATGATAGAACTCTGCTGGGTCTTGATCACCGGTCTTACTGCTCACTGGTGGGTTCAGGATGATTCTCTAATACATTGCCCTTTTCTCTTGTCCTTCCTTTTGTGTATTATCCCAGTTCATTGCTCAGACTAATGATCAGTGGCATGTTGGTGACTGATCCTGGGTTAGCCTTAGGCTCATCCCAGCCCGTTTAACAAAAAACTGTGACCACCACCCTCTGGCCCAATCATTTGCGAAGAGGTGCATTCCCAGCCCCGCAGATATCGGAATGACCCATCCCCTTCTCTGCAACTGCCACCACTGATTGGGCTGGAAGGGGGAGTGGTGGTCACAGGTTTCAGCGGGCTTGGCCAAACTTGTGTGAACTGGGTCTGCACCAAGCCTAGGCTCTCTATTGGTGACATGCTGAGATTTACTGTAGAATAGATTGTTACATTTTAGACACAGGGCACGTTTAGGTGTTTTCAGGGCGGCTTTCAAAAAACAATAATTTTTGGTGCCGTTTGCGGCCTGAAAAATGCAATGTCACAAATGGGAAATGTGAGGTGTGACTGAACACTGTGGGGACACATCACTGACATTTGCTTCATTTGCCACTTAACAGTTTTAGTTGTTACTGACAATGCTGGAAATGGGCATTCCATAGCTAACATTGCATCTCTATTTTTCTTCTACAGATTTTGTCATCCTGTCCAGATATTAAATGGCATTTCATTGGCCACCTGCAGAAACACCACATCAACAAGTTGGTTGGTAAGACTTTTTAGAATGTGACTGCTCCTGGTTGGGGACAGTAGTACCATGAACGCATTAACTTTTATAAATAGTATTTATCATCTGCCTTGTTCCCCAATGACTGTACATGCCGTGGAAATACTTATTGTACCCAAAGTCAAATGTTTGGCCAGTTAAAATTGGGGAACTGCAGAGGTGTTCATAGAACTGAACCTATGGAAAGCTTTTTCATGACAAATGTGCATTTACACATTTTATAGCAATAGTGTGCCCATTCCAGAACAGGCAAGGCAGGGATGGAGGGGGGTGTTGGGGTGGAATCTGCAGTGGTGATAGTGTGGGTAGACCTACATGTGTAATCACTGGGGGTCAGCATGCCAGTGCAGTGACGTGGAAAGGGCAGGTGTGCATGAGGGGGAGTCGTGGTGAGACAGCCTGCTCCCGCAGCTGTCTGAGTACCCAAAGAGCGACCGCATCTGATTGGATGTAATTGCTGTCTGACCGACAGGGAATTTCCCTCACTTTGGAGAGATTTCTTTTCACTTCTTGGGTGTCTACAGGAAGTAAATGAAAATCTCCCCAGTGAGACACAGATGGCAAAACAAATCTAAAAGGTGTCTCAACCATTCCCTACTGTATGTTTGTGTGTGTATATTATACAAAATGACTGCCTTGCACCTACTCCAAGAAATTACTCGACTCATTAACATTAGCTGGATTCAACTAATAGTTTGTTTGAAGGAGGTCCGATTTCATATGGAGCACAGTGACTCTGGTGTGGCTGCTCTCAACAAAAGCGGGGGTACATCTAAAAAGTGGGGACTTTAAGACTCACCGGTGTTAATTATTTGCAGGATGAATAATGAAATACACCAGGATCAATAGAACAGCAAAATGCTGCTTTCCATTAAGTTGTTACGTTTTTCTTCCCCCCTTGTTCTAGCCCTCCCAAACCTTTACATTTTGGAAACTGTGGACTCTGTAAAGCTTGCTGACAAAGTCAATGCTTCCTGGCAGAAGAAAGGATCCACCGAGAAACTGAAAGTCATGGTACAAGTCAATACCAGCAGTGAAGAAAGTAATTCATCTCTGAGCTTAGTACTTCATGATTTCTTCTGTTGGAGTTATCCGATGCCTAATTGATTTTATTTTTCAGGTAAACATGGTCTGTCTCCATCCGGAACTGTAGATCTGGTGAAACATATCAAGGAGAAGTGTCCTGGTTTGGAGTTTGTGGGACTTATGACCATAGGAAGCTTTGGCTATGATCTCGGCCAGGGTCCCAATCCTGACTTTCAGGTATGTGCCATGTCTCTGTTGAAGGATGATGATATATTATACTGCAAGGGGTAGGCAACCTCCGCAATCCATCTGTGCCTCTGGATAGCTGTCAGTCTTGCATTGCCTCATGGGGCTGTGCATAAATGCTTGGTGCCACAATGCATGGCAATGCACCGGATCTATGTACGTACAATGCTTTGCAGGGCCAATAATTGTGACTTGTACAGTAGAGCACAAAGCACCACAACACATACCATGCATTGTGGTGCACCGCCCGTTGTGGTGCACTGGCAGTCCATTGAATGTAGTGTAACGCAAGACGTGATGCATGTTAATGTGTGTGCATGAACCTACCACAGAGGAATGCATAAGTGTGAATGGGCCCATAAAAAGGTGGACTGAGCTTCAAATATTTGATTTAGTAAAAACTACATGGTGTGAAGTGTAGCTAATCTCCCCAAAAACACAAATGTAATATCATTTAGCTTACCACTCCCTATATATAGCAGCTACATTTGTTTTTTTTAGGCTTTTTTTGTGCTCCAGATCTTTAAAGAAGAACCGGTAAATAGGACAACTTACCCTTGAAGAGGGGTTACCCCCACACTGCAAGGGTTAAGTGTTAATTTGTCTAGGGGCTCAAATAAAGCAGATATACTCACCTGATCCTCGGTGGTCAGTGCTTACCTCTCTCCGGCTGTGGAATGCTCCTCACCATCCTCACGTCTATTGTAGGTCAATGGACCTGTATAAGCAGTGATGGTGTTGTCGGTCCTTAGACAACCAGAGCCCCAGGGGAGAAGAGGCTGCCAGGAACAGTCTAGCAGCCAGGAGGGAGGTGTTGGGACCGAGGATCAGGTATATCTGCTTGATTTGAGCCCCCTAGACAAAATGAGTACTAAACCCTTGCAATGCAGGAGTTGCCTCACTGCAAGGGTATGGTTTCTTTTTGTTTTTTTATGGCCGGTGTTCTTCTTTTACATGCCAACATTTACATAAAAGCCATTCCTTTATTGCTGAAGCTAAAGCTGTGATGGAATATCTGTTGACTGCACTTCAAGCTTGGTTTAGGGTTTGGTATTTGGTATTACCTTGGCTTCATATCTGTTCCTCTACATGAACCGTTCTGTATGTTCTCCTTCCTGCAGCTGCTGCTCAGACAGCGTGAAGAGGTGTGTGAGAAGCTGGGGCTCCCTGTAGAAGCCGTGGAGCTGAGTATGGGAATGTCTTCTGACTTTGAGCATGCAGTAAGTATAGAGCCTATTTTGACTACTGTAGCCCCAGGGATGAGAGGGTCACAATGTCTAGTAACATTTCTATGCTCCCTAGTACTCTATAACAGGGTTTCTAAACCTTTTTTCAGTCGCGGCACATTTTAAATATATGCAAAACACCCCAGACTAAAAACTGTAAATGCAAAAAATATTTTCAGAAATGTAAAAAAAAAGACAGTATGGCTCCAAAATCCATACCAGATCCTTACCGGAGAGAGGAGTCTGGTATGGATTTTAAGGAAGGACCCCAGGCAAAAACACAAAGTGGAGCCCGCTTGACATCAGCGCCACCTGCTTTCACATGAGGGAACCCCTTTCTTATCAGAATCCCCCCTTCACATCAAACATAAGGAGTTCTTTCACATCAGAATCCTCCCTTCACATCAGGTGTCCCCTTTACATCAAACATCAGGAGCTCTCTTTCACAACAGAGTCCTCCTTTACATAAGGAGCCCCTTTACATCAGGGTGTCCCCCCCCTTCATTTCCGAAGCCCACCTGCACCGGTACAAAAAATGCATGAGATTATGCAAACATTTTGAGGCACCCCTTTGAAAGCCAGAAGCCACACCAAGATGCCACAGTATGCCAGTTGAGGAAGGCTGCTCTGTAAGGTTTGGACTTTGTGACAATTTTCTGTACGTTTGGGAGAAATGTGATCAGTTGCTATTGTGGGGTAAGAGCTGCGCACCCCGCTCACCAGCAATGACCTGCCTGCATTGCATAGTAAAGCACAAAAAAGGGTACCCCAAAAGAGGAGCAGTAGTAGTAGTAGTAGGCCCTTTTTAATAGCAGCCTCTTAGTAATTGTTGACTCTGAGAGCAGCCAATCTCTAACCATGTAAGAGCAGTCACCATCTTCTCCATATTCACCCACTTTTCACAATGTGCATTGGAGGCTGGCTGGAGGACGTCCAGCACCATCTATCTCTTTCCTCCCCAGCCTGACCATCCCTGACCCTGCACCTTTTTTCTTTCACTGGATTTCAGGTTTTGTTTTTGTTTTTCAATCATGCGGGCTGAGTGTCACATGTTGGCATCACCATAGCTTCTTGTTTTCAGGAAGCTCTATACAGCACCCTGCTGGCCCCTCACACAAGTCATGGTCTGCCTACATGGAATAGAGAAGCACCGAGATCCAGTGTTAACCTCAATACAAAGTTATGTAATGCAAAGCAGAAAGCTTTTATTTAATAATTCATTAGCATGTTGATAAGGAGGGGGAAGGAACCAGGGAAGGTGAAATATAAGCTGATTTAAAGGATAAAATAAAACCTCTCGTATTTTTGCATATATCTACTGCTAGCAAACAGTAGATCTATGCGAAAACATTTTAAAAAGTTTACAAAGGGGTTCAAACGTATCTGTGTCTCCGCCGCAGATCTGAAGATTCTCAGGCGGCTGCAAAGGATGATGGGGCGGGCGCATGCACAGCTCAGATCTTCAGCTGGGAAAAAGAGGAGAGACGCAGCGTAGGTCAATGCAGCAGCGTGTACCCGCACAGACTCCGTGGGACAAGAAGAGAGAGGAGTCAGCGCTGGATCAGAGACCCGCACCAGCTCTGAAGGGATTCCTGAAAGCTACTGGAAAGAAGAAGATCGGATCAAGAGGCATTATTTAAGGTAAGTCCTTACACTAGCATGGGGGGGGGG